CTGCAGATACTGAGAAGTCAGGTAGCGAGAGGGGGAGGAGGAGATGGTGGACTTAGAAGAGGAAGAAGAAGAACTCTCTCTCTCTCTCTCTCAGTCCGGTACTAACCTGTGAAGGTGGCGCCTTGTTGCAGGTACATCGAAGACGAAGCTGGAGTTATGGCGCCACAGGTAAGTCTCCCTGGCCTCCACCAACCATCTCTCTCTCTCCGCTACTACTCTAGCTCCTGATAGCGCCCAGCGCTAAAGACTACTGCTAACACTACTACTACTACTACAGCGCTCCTCCAGAGTGCTGCTGCCGAATCGTGAAGACTGCCTCCTGCCTCCTGCACGTGAAGTGCCTGGGAAGTTCCTATGAACTACTTCGTGACTGTCTGACTGCCTGCAGCCTGCAGGGCGGGCCAGTCTTATATAGTGCTGGCCCGTCCAGGAGGCTGCTCTTGCCAATGCCAAAACGTGGCAGACCCTGGTGTTGAAGTTCAAACAAAGGTTGTCTTGAAAACAGGCCAAAAATGGTCTGTGCTAAAAAGCCTGGTCTGGTGCCTAAGTTTCAGGGCAGGTCGACTTTATGAGGGCCTGAAAATGGCCCTCGTTTTCAGGCTTTTAGGCTGAAACGACACAGGGACTGAGGCCCTCGTTTTCAGGCTTTCAGGCTGAAACGACACAGGGCCTGTAGGCCCTTGTTTTCAGGCTTTCAGGCTGAAAACGACACAGGGCCTGTAGGCCCTTGTTTTCAGGCTTTCCGGCTGAAAACGACACAGGGCCTGTAGGCCCTTGTTTTCAGGCTTTCAGGCTGAAAACGACACAGGCCCTGTAGGACCCTTACTTTCCTTGTTTGGTCGGGCCTTGCAGGCCCGTGTGGATGCGCAGTATGCCACAGAAGGTGAGGGGGTTTGAATGCAAGACAGCGATGTATCACAGTCCTCATGACAGAGGCTGGCAGCGACAATTGTTTCATAGTTCCGAGCAGAGCCTGCCTCCTGGCCTGGCCCACTGCCCCCCTGCCTGCCTGTCGCATGCTTGCATGCCTGCCTGCCTGCCTGTCTTTCTATCCGTCTGTCTGTCTGTCTCTTTGTCTCTTTGCCTCTCCGTCTCTCTGTCTCTCTGTCTCTCTGTCTCTCTGTCGAATCCATCAATGTCTCTTTTTTTTTTTCTTTTTTTTTTTTTCCCAAATGGATACGGCGATTCAAGACTTGGAATTTGATCCAGCAGAGTGGGCTTGGACACCAGACAGAAATAGAAGCCTCAAAAGTAATGTTTCCAGTCAAGAATACACAGTCAAACTGGGTTACAACCTACTCCTCAAAACAAAGGATCCTGAGTCCTGACCCAACGATCAAGAGCGGATGGCAGGAGTTAATAGGTCAGGATGCTAATCAGATACCACAAATACCATGGAAAAAATTCAAGTCAATTCGTCCGGTCAAAATCAGAAGCCTCCAATGGCTCATCTCATACGTAGCTCTACCGGTTAACCAGCGGCTACACATCAGAAGAAGCAAGAATGACCCTAACAGTTCGGATTTATGCGCGGTGTGTTCAGAAAATGAACCAGAAGATATGCTACGTTGCCTGATACGATGTAGAGAGGCGACCGAATATTGGGCGAGGGCCTCAGATCTCTGGGACTCCCTCTTCTCGACTCCGCTCCCTGAACACCCCATCCAACTCCTCTTATGGACTAACATCCCAGCTCAATTCGACAAGACAGAGGTGTTGTAGAACCATTGAGGGACTCTCAACTCCAAGGGAGAAGGTTTGGGCGGAGACAACGTCTTTGATTCAGGCAGAGATCCTTTGTAAATGGCACAAGACGAGACAGTCCATGCCAGATGATGAAGAGCAACAGAGAAGAATCAAGACAAAATTCTCTAAGGTGTGGCTTGCAAGGGGCAAAGTGGCAGAGATAAATGTCTCTCACATACGATGGAAAGACTGGCACAACTCAGAAGCAGGGTGGAGAAGACAAAGATTCCATCCAGCAGAAGGACAAGATCCATCACAGGTCACATAATATTGGAGGGCACCTTCCGTGGCTTCTCTTACCTTTTTTGCTCTTTATTAGTCATCCGAGAGGTTTGTGCAATGGACCTGAGAGGAAAGGTGGAAGTAAGGCAAGCTGACAGTCAATCCTCCGTTATGCAGGAGTAATCAATGCTGGTCAGGGTTCCTTCGGCCAGACGGAAGGAAGCGTGAGTGTTTTTTCATGATGTAATATTTTATTCTGGAAAAAAGAAAAAAATATTTGGCAAAAAAAAAAAGAAAAAAAAGAAAAAAGAAAAGAAAAAGAATTTCACCTCTGACAGTGGAATACAAATGCCCACAACCGTCTCTGTTAATCATTATTCCAATCCTGAAGATCAACAAAATAGGACCAGACTCACCAGAGTCCTATCGTGTTATTCCATGCTAATAATCCATCGAATATCATAATGAATAAATTATGTACTTTCTGGTTTTGTTTCTTTCTGCTGGGAGAGTGGTGTGTGTTTTCATGTTTGCTAAGCACAACTGCATAAAAAAGGCATGACTGTGGTAGTATAACCCAGCACACGTAGTGCTGCTGTATATTGCAGGCAGCTGTAAATAGCAGGTATGTAGGGGCCAGCGCAGGGTTCAGCCTTCCATCCTCTCCTGGGCTCTCGGGCCCCCTGTGCCCCCTCTCTCTGGCCCGTGCAGAGTCGCGGCGGGCAGCAAACTTGTGTTTATTTAGTATTTACCATGAAAGAAATTATAATTAAAAAAAAAAACCGTCACATGCACTTTATGCACATATGCATCCACTGCGAACTTTGACTGGGGCCTATCCAACTCATACAACTGGTCCACCTGGGACCCTCACAATTGGTCAACAGGGGGCCCACTTTTTGGAGTTAGCTTATTACCGTCTTCACCCGAAAATAACGCCCGGGCCCCGGGCGTTATTTCAACACACCCTTAAAAAATCAGATTTCTGTTTTTAGTACTTTTACTCATTTTTCCCGAATACAACGCCTCTTCGAATATAGCGCATGGGCGTTATTTCAACATACCCTTAAAAAATCAGATTTTTGTTTTTAGTACTTTTTACTCGTTTTTTCCGAATACAACGCCCCTTGGAATATAACGCCCGGGCGTTATATTCGAATAGAACGCCCAGGCGTTATACTTGGATGTGCCGTGGGCAGAGTGTCTTGTCGACGGAGTATGCATGGCCTCTAAAGGGAGGGAAAGGGGGTACCATGGCTATTATCCGGACGTCCGGACCGCCGTCCAGATGGTCTGGATTCAGTCCGGACTCCAGACGTCCGGTCTGGAAGGTCCGGATCTGCCAAATTTCGAGAGAGAGAAAAAAAAAAAAAGGGTCCAGGACCCTTACCTATTGAGGAGCCAAGCCCCCAAAAATGTTTTGGGTTTTTTTCAGGCCGTTTATGCTTTTTTGGGGGGTCCGGACATGCTCTCTCTCTATAATAATTTATTAGACAACCCCAATATTTTAATTATTAATAATTCATTAGCTTTTATTAGTTTTTGAAGTGTTTTTTTAAGCTTTTTATAGTTTTTGACTTTTAACTAAAGTTTGGTTAGGAATTCTGACATGACTCTGAGGCAAAAATGGTTTGCATTGTTATTCTGCATAACGTACTTTTTTTTCAGATTTTTTTTTTTTTTTATTGGTCTGGACATTTCCGGACCTGTCCAGGCATCCGGACCGTCCGGATCCTCCCATGTCCGGAGGTCCGGAAATGTCCGGGTCCAGGTCCGGCGTACCCATCGGGGTTGCACATATTCGAATGGAATGCGCCTTTCGTAATTAACTTCAGGTAACCTAACGCAGGCGTTATATTTGGATGTGCCATGGGCAGAGTGCCTTGTCGACGGAGTATGCATGGGTTTTAATTTAAAGGGGGGGGAAGGGGGTATACATGGGTTTTAAACGGGGTTGAAAGGGGTTTAGACTTCGAAGGGGTATGTAACCGACCAACCGTATGTTTTAGTTTGATTTTTTGTTTGATTCTTTTTTTATTTCCGAATTATAAGGAATTCTGAAGTGACCCTCAGCCAAAAGTTGGTTGCATTGCAATACTAGACAACATATTTTTCCAACAGAGTTTTTTTTTTTTTTTTTTTTTTTTTAAATTCTGGGCCCCACTGAAGTTGCTACCAATTTACTGAATATAACGCCCGGGTGTTATAAACGCATATAACTCCCACCGGGCGCTATATTCGTATGCAATGCCCGAGCGTTATTTTTTTTTGGGTTGAAGAAGGTAGTATTAGGGCAACTTTTTTTCAAGTGTTTTCTCATCTCGTGTTCTCTTTTCGTTCCAAGTCTTCCAACTGATTTGCCTAACCTTGGGCATATTTGTCGTTCGCCTTTCCATGCCTGATGACATCCCTCTCCCCCCCGCCTCCTTCCCCACCTCCTGCCCTGTCTCTTATACACATCTAGATGTGTATATTATGATGGCCTAATCCAGAGAGCCAAATATGAAATTATTCAAAGAGAAAGTGGTTCCTCGAGGAGGAGGAGGTAAGGATACGATAAGCTTTGGTTTTCCTCTTTTTGTCGTTTTCGTTTGTTTTTTTCTTTTCTTTTCTTTTGCATATAATTGATGTAATGATGTAGTCTTCATGTAAATCTGTAACCGAAATTCTATGAATCTACAATATAAGAAACATCTGAAAATGTTTAAGAAAGGGTGAGAAGAGAAGGCTGTTGTTTGCACAACCCTCATCTGTTTTGTTTTTTTTTTTTGTTTTTTTTTTATAAAGAAAATCATCATGTGAAGTCCTGACCTCATCTGTTTTTGGGGGAGCTTTGGACGTTGATTTAGATTGGATTTGTTTTGAAATGAAGGTAAACAGTACTAAACACTGAACAGCATTGATTATTGGCCTCGTATGAGGGGGATTGACTGTTCCCTGCTACCAGTGAGGTCGAAAACTACGGTAGCTTGACCTCTGTAGTCAGGTGCCTTCTTTGCCGACAGATTGTTGATTGGTCATCTGAGGCCGAGGGTCTGACGAACACCGAGCCACGGAGGCCATTCGGTGCCTGGACACGTTTCTTTGGCACTGTAGCAGTAACTAGACGAAAATGAAACTGAATTCGCAAAGCGAAGATTTTGACTAGGAGATATTGTCTTGGCCAGGAACAAGAAGAGAGGCGAGAGGGAAGGGGATGGGACTGAGGAGTCGGACAAGGCGGGGGTCATGAGAGGTTAGGGCCAGGGAAATGAGAGAGGGGGAGGGAGGGAGGGAAGGAGGGAGGGAGGGAGGGAGGGAGGGGGGGGGGGGGGGGGGGGGGGGGGGGGGGGGGGGGGGGGGGGGGGGGGGGGGGGGGGGGGGGGGGGGGGGAAGGGGAGGGGGGGGGGGGGGGGGGGGGAGGGAGGGAGGGAGGAAAGGAGAAGGGATGGGGGAGGAGGAAGGAGGGGGCAGAGGGAGAGAGAAGGAAGGGGGGGGGAGGAGGAGGGAAACTGTTGGCTTTTCAAGGCAGCTAGGAAAGGGGAAACTAGTATGGAGTTTTTAGGGGTTGGAATGATACGGAAAAGTGTCATTGGCAGCTGCTGCCGGTCTCTCTCTGCGCTCACCCATGGCATTCCATAGCATGTTATTGGGCGCTCCACTCCTGTCGACACGAACAAAAGACAGAAGATATGGTGGTGCACCTTTCCATGTTCTAGCCGAAGATTCATTCTCATTTTGCACATTTAGTGGAGCGAGGCCAATTATGGTCATCCAGTTCAGACAGTCTGTTATTTGGGTCGATCCAGATCCGTCCAGACTCCGAAAGGCATTGATTACGTCAGGGGCGCAAGATGGTTGAATGCCTTTTTTCATCTGTTTCCAACTTTCCATGCTTCACGAGTGTTTCCCCCGATGGAGTCTGCGTTTTCTACTTTTGCCTGTAGAAAACCGAAAGTATGCTGCTTTCTGTCAAAAGTGCATCTAGCACGCCAGATGGTCATTGTCAGTACTGATAATCTGCTATGCCATAAAAAATATATCTCAAAAGAACCCCATTGTGCAGAGTGTTCAGAGTGCCGGTCTAGCAACAGCAAGCTTATGTCTCATGGAAAGTGACTCCCCGTTAAATACGACCAGGTGGCACCAGATTTGTGCTGCCGCAACGTTCGAGTGTGGTTCTGCATTTGGGCGCCAAAACACATCAATATGTACATAGAGGAGAAATAATTCCTTTTTTTTCCCAAATCAGGATGGGAAGGGGGGCTGGGTGGAAAAAAGAGTGGGAGGGGGGGGGGGGGGGGGGAAGATTGGCCAAAAAAAAAAAAAAAAGAGAGAGTAGAAGTGGGAGACCAGCCAGTCTGGGGCTGGGAGACACCTCCTATGGAAGATTTTTGTGACTGCAGCGCCCTGTCAGTAGTTGGCATAAGGCGACTGTATTCTGACCAGCAGAAATCGGATGGATGATTCTGATTGCTGTGGAGGGGAGTAACTGATCCTCCTCTCTGTTATAACTTGGGTCGTAGGGGTGACTTCGTGTGTGGCTCGATACCCATTCTTAACAGTGTGTTGCCAAATAATACACGTGTTTTTCGTTTGACCAAGCCCATTCACGTTCGTCGGGGTTGAAGGGAAGCTGACTGATAGGTGCGCTTGGTGTTCGCCGGGGTTGAAGGGAAGTCCTTGAAGCCCCTTGCTTGTGATCCTCTATCGATCTGATCCCCAAAAGCTGAGGCCAAGGTAAAGAGCAGTCCAAGTCCAGTTGCTCATTTCTTTTCAGCTTAGCCCATTAAACCACCAGTACTTCCTGAAGTCGTGCCCGTTAACGCTACGCGATTTTAGGAAACGTACGGGCCACTACAGGAGCGCCCAAATTCATTCAACTAGAAACGTTTCTACTCTATTTTTTGGGCGGCCGATAGCTGGGCCAAGTACTGGTGGTTTAACCACCTGGAAGAGCCAGTTTGTAAAAAAACAATAAAATAAATAGGTGGGTACTACCTGCCTTGACCAGCTTAACCTGATAAGACATCATTTGGAATATGGCGGCCAGTCACAAGAACAACCGGATTGCTTATTCGGATGGTTGGGTTAGCATTTAGTATCAGGGTCCGTGCTAACGTCGTCAGCCGAATAGAACGCACGGTAATGGTTGGTGCATCTGGACTGGAAGTTGGCCCACGGTCCGTGCTACCGTCTTCACCCGAATAGAACGCACGGTAATCATTGGTGCATCTGGACTGGAAGTTGGCCCAAACAAAGCTATAAATGACCGGGCATTCTATGCGGGTGAAGACGGTTGTGGAATGGCTTCCAGTATCCTTGAGAGCTTATCCTCAAGATTCTTGACATTCTTAAATCACTAGTACGTCCGAGGCTCGTGGTTTTCCCCTGAGCACCAAGCATTGCCGAAACGCCAGCGCGGCGTTTTTGTTTTCGACTTTTGGCTGGCGTCGTAGACCATTCTGATCTGGTTGCCCTGGGCCTCCAAACTTTTCGGAGAGGTTCTCTCACGTTTTCTCAAGTTGCTTGGGGCCATGTACTGGTGGTTTAAACCACCAGTACCTTTCCCATATATCGGCTGTGGGAAAAAATAGAGTGGAAGCGTTTCGACTTGGCTGAATTTGGACGCTTCAGAAGTGGCCGGTTCATCCTCCGAAAGCCACGGCCACATGAGGGAGCGACTTTCAGAGGTACTTGTGGTTAAAGCTGCCCTCTTAGTCTTCACTCAGATTTCCTTGTTGTAGTGGATCTGTCCCATAGATCTGCCACCGTGTAGATTCCTTTTCGTACCCAGGTGAGCCAGGGGGAGTCCTTTTGTGGAGGGAGAGAGGGGAGCCTTGCATATCAAGAGTATCTGGGTTCCCAAAAAGAGTGCCTACATATCTCATGCCACCTTAGTGGAGCAGGTTTCTTTTTGAAACCCAGTTGTCTCCATAAAGAAAAGGAGTGGGGAGCCCTGAATGTCAAGAATCTCTGGGTTTCCAAAGTGAGGCTGCCTCCACTCATGGGAGGCTTAGTGGATTGGGTTTCTTTTTGGAACCCAGTTGTCTCCATAAAGAAAAGGAGTGGGGTGCCTTGAATATCAAGAATCTCTGGGTTTCCAAAATGAGGCTGCCCCCATGTCTCATGGGGAGGCTTAGGGGATTGGGTTTCTTTTTGGGACCCAGTTGTCTCCATAAAGAAAAGAAGTGGGTCCCCAGGGAATCTAAGAGTATATTGCATTTTGCCAGCTTTGTCAGAGTTTCTGTCTCGCGCTCCTCTCGTACGTGATGGGATGGACCACTCAGAATTGGTCGCCCATTGCGAAGGACGGATGGGTCTCAGGTGATATGAGGGAGGGGCAAGCCATTATAGCTGAATATAAGCTTAGGGGGCCCAGGGAATAATGTTTCCAATAAGGAGATGGACCAGGAATTTGCTGATTGAAGCGTTGATGTTGCCTCGGGGATCAATGATGCCTAGACCCCTCTTGCTCTTGGTTGAGCTATGCGATGCAATGCCACTCTCCTTATACATCATGTATCTTTATTGCTGTTCTTCCATAAGAATGCAGAGGCTGCCTATGTGAGCCTCTGGCCATATGTCGTTGTTGACAATGTGCCCAAAAGGTCACCTTAAACCGCTAGTACACGACCCCAGCCATGCAGAAAGTTTTTGTCGCCACAAGCAAAACTCGGAAGCGCCGCGCGGCCAGGGGCGCCGTTGAAATAGAAAATCAGCAGCCTCCGAAGTGGTGCGGGTTTCATGCTGACACCCGTAGGCTGATGTGTGGTGTATTGGTGCTTCAAACCACCAGTACGTGGCCCCAGGTAACTTGAGAACAACAAAAAGCTCTGTCCGAAAAATTTGGAGGCCGGGGCCACTCGACCAAAACGCCTGGCGGTGCCAGCCAAAACAAAAGCAAAAACAAAAATGTCACGCTGCCGTTTTGGCAAAGTTTGGTGCGCAGGGGGAATCCCCCGCGTACAAAAAAGGCTCGGATGTACTGGTGGTTAGAACCATACAGCCACAAAGATGACATTATTAATATTAGCCAAAGCACAGCCTACGATAGATGTGTCAAGGCCCTTCCACTGAGCCATCAGAGTTTGACTCTATCTGTCGGTGGGTGACCCAGTAGCAGTGAGTCTAACACCTAAGATTCAAATAGCTTCTTTGTGGGCTTCCCTGAAACCGGTGATGTTACAGGAGCTGTGTCACCTCAAGGATAAAGCCACCGCCCTCCAGCTCTAGTTCCCTAGATGACCTTCATATATGCAGCAACTTCAAACTGATGGACAGTATGTGCAAGAGCATGCAAACTTAACTCAACGGCCTTCAATAGGACTGTGAGGTCGTCTGCAAAGCGAGAGGTAACCGGGGTGAGGTTGGAGCATGGATTCTTTCGTCACACCGGTTAGTCCTCATCATTGCAGCCAGGGCTTTCATGACAATAATAATAGAGAGGGGTGATTCAATCTTCAATCGCTTGCCTGACTGGCCCTTGGAGGGGAAAGGGAGGGGGAAGGTGACCGTTGACCATAATGTTTGTTGAGGCAGTCCCGCGAAAAAAACTGACCAGTT